TGCAGAGCTTGGGGTCTTTATAAAAATGGTTTAGTACTGTAACTTCTATCGGATAACTGCTCTATTTTTGAATGAGTCTGTTTCACCGACTCCCATCCTCATTTCTGCTTCATGAAAAAGGTTAGACTTTCATCATTTTTTTTTCAAATTGTTCCAAAAAAGAAAAAAAAATGCATTCTAATTTGTAATGTGCTATTTGGATTTAAAACTAACATCTTCAGATGACCTAGGTTAGTGCTTGGCATGACTTGGCATGACTATCCCATGGTTGAACTGCTTGTATATACCTATAGTTAAATTGCTTATGATTATACATGCTGCTGAGGCCAGGTTCTCAGTTTGTCTGTAACTCCATTGACTTTAATTGAGCCTATAACAATATCCAGGTTTGTCATTATTAAAGATACCATTTCAGGATGCACCAATTTGGAAGCAATGCAACTATGTACAGGAGCAATGCTTCTTAGATTGTAAAGGTAGAAAATAATATATAAATATCATAGGCCTGATTCATTACTCTGTTACATGAGTTATATTTGTGTAACCGCTTTAAATTCAGTGAAGTATATCCATTTTTTTAAATGTGTAACAGTGTGAAGAATGGAAGGTAGTAATCAATCCATGGTTTTCCATAAATATTACATATTGCAACTGCCGTTAGAAACGTTGGTTAAATCTGACAAGTAGATAATTAACAACTAGGAATTAAAAATACTATTTGCCATATTTGTCCACCTATCACACACCCCCAAATAAGACATGCATCTTGCTATTGGAAGGCACAATGTGAAAAAGAAGTTTGTTCTAGGCTCATGGTTAACTGGGTGACATGGAGTCCTCCTGCAAACAGGGGGCGCCTGCACACATGCAGAGAGGCTGGTCCAACACGCTCAAATTACAATGCATCAGAGCAGACTTGATTAATCAAGTCTGCCGGAGCGTGGTAATTACCTCACTCCAGCAGTGTCCAGAGTCACGTGTATCAGTGTCTCCCCTGGGGACGTTGATACATGTGACACTCCAGGCACTTTAATTAGAGCAGCTCTTGGAAAACAATCTGGGTGACACAATAGGATCTTCTTGGTGTAGTGAAACAGCAAGAAGATTAGGTAGGCCCCAGATTCTTGCAAGGGCAGTAGCTGACTTCTTTACTGTAAATACCCACAGTTACTTATATAAGTTCCTATAAATAATAAAGTGTTGTTGTCCACACCACAATTCTTAAATTACATGCATACCTTGCCCCTGACCATTTCAGGTACAAGCTGCAATTTTCAGCCAATAATGATGGCAACTGTGAGAGGGATAACACAGAACTCTTTCCCTTCTGCTTTCTGGAGCCAGAGACAAGGGGCGGCCATGCTGGTGGTCATTAGACAGTGCCTGCATGCTTCTGTTTCCCAGTTAAGACATGCATCCCCGTTTTGGAGAGCTGATCTTTGTGGGGGAAGGCTGTGTGTGGTGTGCAAGTCTATTGCAGTACTATTGTATGTACTGTATGTAGTAGTACTATATGTATTGTAGTCCTATATGTAGTACTATTGCACATCATGAATTTCTTTCAACATTTCATCAGAAACCTGCAAAAGGTAGGATACAAGATTGTTAAAGTGGAACATTTCAGAATTATCACCTTACACGTGATCTGTTTTTCTGTTTAATATTAACATTTAAAGCTGATTACAAAGGCTAGGTCTTCGTTCTGTTATGATTCACAAAGGCATGTTAAGATATACTCACTCTCTGCCTCCACTCTAGAGAGTGTATTTTTTGTACCAAAGCTGTTTTTATTTACATAGCTGTTCTACCTGCTTTGAAATGTGCAATTCTGCAGGATCTGATTTTAAATTTAAACCTCACACTCTGTGGTCCTTGTCAACTTGGAGAAATATACTGAAGAAAAACAAAATTTCTTCAAGCCATGAGCAATGTCAGAAAGTCTTATGAGCACTGAAGTGATTGCTGACATAGAGACTATTGTAGTTAGGGCAGAGCATACTGAAGTATCTCAGCATGAGTATGGGACTTGGGTGAATATGGAGGAATTGGTGGTCTCCTGACAAATGGCACGAGGAACTTTCTACTCCCTTCAAAGGAATATTAAGGGAAAGATTTCTATAGGAGTGTCTTCAATAGTTTTTACAGCCAGAGCTCAAGATCTTTCATATATTTTTTCTGTAGCAGGGCTTGATTTTTGATTATGTTTAAATTTGGTCCTACTCAGATAAATTCTAATATTCTGATTTGTCAAAATAAGAAATGAGAAAAATGAATTTTAGAGTAATGCTAATACTGCAAAGTTGATTTCTACATCTGATCTCTTCATTGTGGTTTCTGGTTCTTCAGAAAACTATACTTATACAGTTGCAAATTTGTATTTTAATGAGCGACAGAAGACATCACAATTTCTATGGTAATGTTTTTCAGAGAAGTGTCTTAAGTCTACAAAGGAGAATAGCCCATTATATGTATTTGAAAAAATCAAGGTAGTGAGGAGATGGTTCTCAATGAGATGCATTTTATACAATAATAGTGTAATGCCATAACTTTAATTATATATGTTTGACACCACTGAGATATAGATAGAGAAACAGAGAGCGAGAGATACTACTCAGTTCAGGCTACTGAACACTGGGGGCATTGCCAATTATTGGCCTGTCATAGAAACCAGGGCCTAGTAGACCTGGTGGACATGCCTCCTGGCAGCAGGCAAGCAAGTTGGGGACTGTGCAAAACAGTCCTCAGTTGCCCTGTAGCCCATTGGCCCACCACCCCTTGTGTGCCCTTCCCATGGAAAGTGGCTGCTTAGCCTGTGGTCACTAACCCCTCTGTCTCCACACTGGCTGATGCTGCCACTACCATTGTGGTTGCCACCATGGTGATCTCAGCTGCTGCCACTGCCATGGCCATAGCCATCACTCTTTTCCCTGGGCAGGATCCAGCCTATCCAGCACAGATCCCCAGTTGAGTTTGGCACCCTGATACATATTGGGAGCATCTACATGAGATGCTTTGAGCATAGTACAGCGCATTAGCTCAGTGGGCCAAACCTGTCCTAATGCCCAGTAGATTTAGTCTACTGCACATTAACATCACAAAAAGACCTTTTGTTTGCACTAATGTGCAGTAGTGGAAATTATTGTGCATTAAGTTAGTACCTATCATTACAAGTACTAACTTAATGCTGTAATTATGGCACCTAACATATAAATCATTCACCTGGTAATTATACAACAGATTTTGCTTGGAGTACAGCGTATTGTAAAGATATTGTGCAGAAGACACAATAGACCTGTGTGATAGAAGTAAGCAGGTGAGCCCTGATCCTGTACTGTCTTGCATTGCATGTAGTCATTTACCTGCGTAGGAAATGAATGTAAATACTGTCATTCCAGTTTGTCCTTTCTTATGTCCAGTGTGCTTAAACAACTACACAAGGCAAAAGGAAGTGGAAAATCCAGCTCCCTGTCCTGAAATAATGTTTCTCTGATAATACGTGCATTTTAAACTGTATCTTAATTTCACACTCCTCTCTTATACGTTGCCTTCGCAATTTACATCACCATTCTTTGACCATGTGTGTGACAACACCAGAACAGCTCTAACCATAGTAGATGTGAAATGCTTCTCTCTAAATTCTTGCCTCATTTCATTGGGGTTACATGGAGTCTGAAAACAGAATCAGACTATCTATACAGGCAGCAATGCAAAAATGGGTGTATTCTGAAAGTGTTATAGTGGTCTCTTCCCCAAAGACTTATGTTTTTCTCTTTTTCCCCCTCAGGGTGAGCAAGATGATAGATCTTTCAAGCAGTACAGGACATCAAGTCCTAGTTCTGCTGGATCTTTAGGTTATGGTCGTTATACTCCAACGTCCCATTCTCCTCAGCATTACAGCAGACCAGGTAATTCAGAAGCAAGTTCATTTATTCATTTGCCTATGTTCAGGTTCATGGTACAGATATGATTCCGATCTTGTTGTTAAAACATATTACCATATTTTGGTTAATATGAAAAGAACGGCCTATGAGAAAAGCAAATTTCTTCACTTAATGCACATACATAGGGTTTTTGTTTGTTTGTTTTTAATATATTTTGCCAGGCATTACAGAATTTAGTGTAAAATTAGCAGAAGATAGAAAATGGACTTGATCCTGCCCATTCTTTCTGCTCATGACACCTTACCTAGTCAAACCCCAACTCTTCCACCTTATAGAATCATGGGTGATTATGACAAGATTTAACATGGGAGACCCCCAATCCTCTTTGCACTGATAACGTAGGGGCTGAGGACTGGACTAGAAAAATGGCTGTTAAATTTCCTGCTAACCAATTTGCTGGTCAAAATCCACCTACAGTGAAGTCTGCAGCAATCAGTGCTACACTGGAGGAAGCAGCTTAGCTTATTTTTGCATGCTCATAAGAGGTGGATTCAGCCCACCCTGGCCTTTTTGCAGGAGCAACTGAACTGCTTAAAACTGTTCACTCAACTGGAAATGTTCTGTAGTTTTATCAGTGATTTTTTTCTTTTTGGAAATTAGAAATGTGCTTTAGAAGATAGGGGAGGGTAAAGGAGGTCCTCAAAAAGGTAACATTCAAAGAGAAAATTTAAATTGCAAGTTGTAAGAAACAGTTTACAGAAAATGGCATCCTTGTTATTCACAAAGTATTTGCTGGGGATGGAAAAATATGAAGTATCAAAGATCTGTTTAGGAGATTGGGAATTAGTCTGTGCTGAGACTGGCAATTCTATCATGATTATATTCACTTGTACCCTAGGAGAGCAGGGTAGGAAGAGGAAGAAAAGCATAAACAGTTCTGCTTTAAAAGTGAGTTTTAAAGCTGTAATTTTCACAAGCAGCTAGAAATATTCATAATTTGTAATTGTAGTAGTTATTTTCACAGTATTAGTTCTCTGTGCAATGTGCTATCAGGATGTTACAACAACAAAAAAGGAACGAATGTGAAAGATCTGAGGCTTTAGTTTATTAAGCTGCTTAGGGCCCTCCACAAGTGCAGTTAAAGGCACAATGGGATCTAATGTGCAATCCACATTATGGATGCATGCATGGCAGGGGCTGTGATTGTAGGATCACACATTAGACCCCATCATGTCTTATAGTCATTGCAGGGAGAGCCAGATCACAGGCTCCCCCTGCACTGGCAAGAAGCTGGGAGCCCCCTCAACTGAGGGGCTCCCAGCCCTAAGGGCTTCATGCACCCCATGGCTGGGGGAGACAGCTGCTGAGATCTCCCAGCCCCAGGGTTGTGTGAAGCCCCTGGGACTGGGAGATTATGGCAGCCAGGGTCTCCCAGCCTTGTGGGTGCATAAGCCTTCCGGGCTAGGAAACTGCAACAACTGTGGTCTCCCAGCCCTGGGGGTTTCACACACCCCTGCAGCTGGGAAAGAATGACAGCTTCAATCGCCCAGCCCCAGGTGCTCCACACACCCCTACAGCTAAGAGATTGCAGCTGTGTCCTGCAGCTGCTGAGACCCAACTTGGTCCCTCACCAGGAGGCATGCTGCTGGGACCCAGCATCTACAGCTGTGGGACTCCAGGTCCCAGCAGCTGTGGGATACTGCTGGAACCCAGAGCAGGCAGCTGCCAAGGCTGAGTCCTTGCAGTTGCAGGACTCCCAACCACAGATGGGCATGGTGGAGCCCTGTGGCTGGGAGCCCCGTCAGCTGAAGGAAGACCTTCAGCTTCCTTCAGGGAAGGCCTTGCTACAGGTGCAGGGAAGACCTTGCTACAGGTGCAAATTAAAGCTGCATACAAACTAGCTCTAAAGTTGTACACATTGTCAAGGTCTAACTTCATAGCTGATTGGACCTTTTTATGGCACAATAGGTACTTTGCACGTGTAGCTGGTTTCAGTTAATTGCACAATGAGCTGGTTAATACCTGTAACATGTAGAGGGGGCCTCAATCACATGCCTAACTTTAAGCACCCAACTTCAGTGGGGCTTCTTACATTTTAAACTTAGGGATGCTCTTAATACCCTGTTGTATTGTGGGCTGGATCCTATGTCCTTTGAAGCCACTAGCAAAATTAACATTGATTTCAATGAGAACTGGTCCTTGATCTAATATAGTTCCTAGTGGGGGGAAAGAAAATAAACTCCCCATTTCATTCCATGTAGACCCATTATGAACATATGTCATTCCATCTTGCAGCTTTTGCCAACATCAATTTTGGCCAAAGTGCAGTTATGCTCTTCATAGTGCCTTTTTCTGGAATATTTTCTGATGTTCCACCTACAAACCTGTGCCTTTATCGAACTGCATAATATGACCAGTATTGTTCTTAGAAGACAGATTAGAAATAGAATAGATTTTTACTTTTAAAATCTGTGCTAATTTCTAAACTTGTATATCATCAAGAGGAAAATGTTCCTGGAAAAAAAAAAGGTGTTATGTATGTTGTAGCTTTCAGTAAGTGAACTAAATAGTTTATTTTCACTTACTCTTTGTTACCCCCTAGCTGGTACTCAGAGTCTTGGTACCAGTAGCTGCATCTCCCTGCCCCAACACCCAAGCCCTACATCTACATTCAGACATCATTACATCCCTTTCTTCAAAGGTAAGGTCCAGGAATGCCAACTGTGCTGTGATAACTGTAGACCTCTCCAAACGTGTTTCAAGTTGATGTCTGTGCAAGCATGGCTTCCAACTGGGTAAAGTTTGTCTTAATTTTGTGCAAGTGCTTTCTTGACGTACCTTGTCAGTCTCCGGGACCTGCTGGTTTTATATATTTTTAGTTTCAGTGAATGTTCTATGTTTTCTAAAGGTGGGGAGAAAAACGGATTTGGAAGTGAAAAGGGAAGAAAATTATTTAAAATTTTGCTTGTTGTAATTTACAGAAATGTTTAATCTCATTTCCATATTGCAGTGAAACTAAGGGACTACTGGAAGAAGGCCCTTTCAAACACTGGACAATCAAGTATTCAACCTTTTAACTTCCATGTAGAGAATTAGCCAGGTTTTTGGGGTTTGGGTTTGGTTTTTTTTTAACGATTAAAACATAGTGGGGTCAGATCCTCATCTAGTTAAATCAGCAGTGCTCCACTGATCATCTGTGAACCTGGCCAGTTTAAGGTGCTATGCTTGCATTTAACCCTGTGTTGTGTCTCTCAATAGATTGGTCCTTATTCCTATTAAAACTTCTGCAAATACACATGAATTATTAATGGTCTGCATATTACAGGGAGGCACTGGGGGAATCCCTAGGACTTTTGAGGCAGAGTGCATGTTGGCTCAACATGTTATTTAGACATTAGAGAGGAAGACTGCATGCTTAATGATTACAAGAGTGTCCTCCCCTGAGTTTTTCCTCTTCAAGAAAGATGAATAAGGAGAGGAAAGAGAAACAGTCATGGATAACAACCATTTTCAACTCCTAGTGTCCACTATTTTTATGTGCCATCATAGCTAGGAAAGTAAGTGACTACTAAACACATCTTCCTTTCAGAGGGCCTTGTTACATGGGATACTTTGCATGTGTTATATTTAGATCAATTGTAGTAAGTATTAGTATGACTTGGGAAGTTTTCTGAGCAATCATATGTTAATGCCAGTTCAAGACTTTGGGGCATTCAGCTGATTTTTGGTCTCCGCCCTGGGATTGCACAAGAGCTGGTTGGAGACTTCCATGAGGTCCTGGGGCTGGGAGTGTGGCTCCCAGCCTCGGGATCTTAATTGATCGCATTATCTCTGTGGAACAATCCCACATTCAGGCAACATGTGTTACTTAATATGAATGGGAGATACTCCTCCCTCGAAAAGGCTTAACTTCACTATGATACAAGAGCACTTAGCATATGTTATCTTGTTTGAACACTCGGATGCTAGCATTTTAAGTGGGGTTAACACATGCTAAGTGTGACATGTAACACTCCCCCAAGGTATATAAGTAGCAGGTGTTCAGTCCCTTTGAAAACACAGCAGGTAGGTCTGGATCGGGTTCCAACTCACTCAGGAATAATTCCACAAAAGTCACTGGAGTGTTGGTGGTATAAATGAGACTAGAACCAGGCTCATGCCTTGACAAATATGAGCTGAAGAGGGAATTTTGAAGAGAGAATAAATTATAAACCTAGTGATACTATTTTAAACAACAATCTACCTACAAAGATTCTGTCTCCCCCTTCCCAAAGGGCTGAAGCACACCGTGACAAGGCACTGCACAGACACTCTTTTATGCATATAGGTTTTGTCAGAGTTGATATATTTAGCTAGAAAACCTGTCTGCGAGCTGCACTGCATGATTACACGGTGTGAAATGCTCTCATTTGAAAGCTGATCAGTAGTTGCTTAGCAGCACTTTTACTTGATCACACTTAGGTCAGTATGTTCAGGCCTACCTGCTGTTGCCATATGCAGGAACAATTTCTTATTGATATTGTTTGGAAAACAGTCCTTCAAGTGGCATCCATCTGTTCCAAACGCAATAATATTACTTTGCATTTTTGTAGCACCTTTTCTCAAGGAACTCAAAACCCTGTGCAAGTATTAAGTAATTAAGCCTCACAGCAGCCCTGTGAGGTAGGTAAGTATTTTTATATGAGTAAACTGAAGCCTATGGGTCATAGTTACCCTACTGTTATGCATTGAGTAAGTGGCCTAGCCAAAAAAGGACTCCCTAGGATATGTCCTTCTGTCCTACTTCCCAGTTCCTTCCTCTCAGTACTAGAATGTCCTCATTCCTTGCCTTGGTAAGTGTTTGAGGTTAATGATGTGCTGTTCTTTTGCCTGTTAAAGTATGAGAAAAAACATGGATAAATTCATGTTGCAGGACCAAAAATAAATGAAATATATTTAAACTACTCTCAGTTGACATGGGCATTATTTTGTATCAAAATAAGATATTTGTTACTATTTCCATTCAAAATACTTAGAAATATGCTTGGCTGTCTGATAAACCTGAACATATCTCAAGATGCCACACTGGTTAACAGTACTAAAATAGACCTTTTGTATTCAAAACTGAATCTTACCTTTAGCTATCCATTATTTGTCTTTATTTCTGAAATAAAGGCACCTCTCTGCCACTAAAAGAATTAAAATTCTCACGGCTTCAGTGGGCTTTGGCTTCATTATTTTTGTCACAGGACTTGTTCCTGAGTTTCTGCGCTCCCTCCTCACCTCCCATGCAAGCAACAGCTTGTTATGACAGTTAATAACAACATAGGGTAGGATTTTATGAAACGCTGTGCATTAGTCTAACTGTGGTCCCTTTAAAGTAAGGAGTCTGCAAGAGTGCAGCCCATGTGGAGTAAAAGTCCACTCTTTAGAAAACAGCAAACTTCACCTTGTTTATTTTAATATATGGGTTTCCCCAGGAATGTCCCTTTAATCTGTTGTAGTACTTGGTGGACTCATTTACATGTACAATCAATTTGAAGTGATGTGTGCTGGAGTTTATTGCTCCTGGGTGCCAGGTTTGAATGTGTGCCCAGGACTGCAGCACTTTGAGCCAGGTTGGAGTGGCCCAGCTGGCAGGGGTCCCAGGGGCCAGCCCGCGAACCTGGAGCTGCTCCAGCCCAGCTCCACATGCTGCAAAGGATCTGGCTGAGCATGAGGGTCTCCAGTGTGGGGCTAGCTGGTTGGCTGGGGCATGAGGGTACAATAGTGCACAGCTAACTAATTAGGTAGCTCCACAGTCAACGTCTTATGTAAACGCGACCAGTGGTTTCAAAGGCTTGAACGAACAGTTGCTATTTTAAAGACTTCAAATAGAAATCAAGTTTCATTGGCCTAATGAATGGGCCCAACATCTAAATGTAAGAAAGACTACAGTTACAGTGGTAACTGCTCCCGTTTTGAAACAGTGGTCAGAATGCATACTATGAAATCCCAGGGTAGGGAGGTTTGAAGGCATGCTGCTCAGCTATGATAGCTTTCTGGCTACAAAATCTACACAAATCTTGTCATATTCCCCATGGTTCAAGAAAGAGAAAATGCTGCAGTATGAAAAGCTAGTCTGGAAAGTGAGAGCTAGAGAGAAGAGAGCATGTAATTGAGCCTAAGGAGATGTAAAACAGGCTTTTTGACCAGCTCTCAAATAGTAGGAGAAGGCAACATGTTTTGAGGCCTGCCAGTCTCCTGTACACATACAAGGGCAAAAGGGCAGCCTGCCTTGCTAAAGCCAAGAGACACGAGTCTGTTTCTGTGGTTGTTATTTAAGTTCAAAGTAAACCCTTCAAGATTCATTCCAAGTTAAATAAAACCAAGTCCAGGAAAGAGTTCATGATTCTATGTTTTCGCCCCACATAGTCTAGAAAGTGGATTGGGTCACAGCCTATGGCTGCTTATGGCACAGAGCCAAACCAAAACCTTATAAAAGTTCTCTTCCCAATAGTTTTATCTTTTGTGGGGCCAGTCTTGAAATCCTAACTTATTTTTTACCCAAGCAAACATCAAACAAGATACAATTCCCACTGAAGTCTCAGTTAGGAGGTTTATAAGTGAGAAAAAAATGAGTCTGTGGATCTTGTCACAGGCCTCAGTATGTTTTGTTATGAGAATTTTTTTTGTATGTCAGCTGCAATATCCAGCTATATCCCTACCTTTCGCAATCATAAACAACCTTTTTATATAATGTAAGTGTTAGCTTGCATAGTGTAAGGGTGCCCAAGAATAGCTTCCTGCCTGCCTGTATCCCTTCTAAATGCAAATTTAGGCTGTGATCATGCAAATGATCCGCACGCAGAGCAGTTTGCCGATTTACAGCCTTCACTCCTCTGTGTTTACATTCCCTGCCCCTGTCCTCTCTTCCTCAGCTCTTTTCTACTCAGTGCCTCTTCCTGGTACCTGGTACATGAAAGAAATGATCTCTAAAGAATCCCACTCTTTATATCATTTGCAGTTCAATGAAATTCCTCATCCTCATGGCTTTTATCTACACAGAATCTTTTAGGGACCTAAAATTTTTAGAGGTGCACCGGTACATCAGTTCCATATCAGATTGGCACTGATATAAGGAAAATTGACAATCAGCTTTTTTTGGCTGATGTGGTCGATAAATGTCCTGAGCATGCGCCCAGCTGCAGCACAGCAGGCAGGTGGCTAAGAGCACAGCCCGGCAGTGTGGAGAGCAGCTGGGTCTGCCTGGTAAATGTGTTGTCCCGCGCAGGGAGCATGTGACCTGTGACAGCCAGTCACCTCGCCCACTGCTCTCAGTCCCAAGCAGCCAGCCCAGGAAAGCAGAGGGAGAGCAAAAACCTGGACATTTGCTCCCATTTTAAAAACCCAACCAGACACAAGGACAGATGGCCAAAAAAGAGGACATGTCTGGGAAAACCCGGACGTATGGTAACCCTGAACAAGAGGATTCATAATAACTGAGATTATAAAAGGAAAGCATCATCCTTAACTAGGAAGCTCTTCTACTCCATGCTGTCTATTTAGGATGAAGCTGTAGCTTGGCTGTGTAGGTGGTTGAGGCCTGGCATCTGATCTAGCATAGAAGAAATAATCTGTGCCTAGGAAAAAGCTGGCACCAGTGGCCAAACTAATATTTCTTCAGTCACCCATTTTTTCCTGGTATACTCCTAAGGCAGAAAGTCTTAGGCTCCCACGCAGGCTGCCCCATGTGGAAGATTTAAGGTCACTCCACAAAGAGTATCGGAGGTAAAATAAAATGTTAGCTAATGCTTCTTGAATTTCAATTTCAAAACTGTCCAGAATATTTTTTAATTTTGGAGCAATGATCTTATCAAATTATTGCTATGAAGTAGATAGTTGAAGTGACTTCCAGTAGTTAGGGGGGTTTTAATTATCTTCATTTCATTCTGCAATATGACAGTAAAAGGCCCCAAATAAAAACTGATTAATTAGTGACACGGCACATTCTTCTGCTCTTACATAAATTCTTCTTCCTTCCACTGATCTCCATGGCACTACTTCCATCAACTGCAGTAGCAATGGGTTCGGCATTATGGTTACTACTGAAATATTGGGTTCAGACAGAAGTTACATTTGTTGTACAATTGACCCCCTGAAAGCAATCTACAGCCGGGCTGTGGCACAAGTGCTTTAAAAGTGGCTGATCATGCAGCCAATTAACTCTCATCTAATGAGGGATCAGATGAAGGCACTCCACTTTGGAGTGCCTTAAGGAACTTCTGTTCCCTAACATCAATCTATAGCAAGATCAGGGCTGGGCTCATGTAGCCCAGCCCCACCCCACCCCACCCCACCCAACCCCCAGTGCTGTCTGCAGGAAGGGAGGGGGAATGCATTGTAGGCTGGGATTTGCCCAGCCTGAGCTGGAGGGGGAGTGGGTGTATTGGAGCCCCCCTGCCTCACGGCTCCCCTAGGTCCCCCTTCCCCTTCAGCTCAGGCTGGGTAAACCACAACCCGCAGCTCACTCCTCCTTCCCTTTCCCCCATTCCCTTCCTGCAGATAGCCCCAGAGCTGTTAGGAGGTGTGGGGGGCTGGGGGAGAAGAGCAACTCCCAGTCCATGCCCCAACCAGTCAAATTTTCTGGGTCTGCTATGGGCATGGTCTCTTCTCACCCAAGGTTACCCACAATACTTTCTCTCACCTATAGCAGTGCTCAGTTACACGTCTAAAACTTGTGTTCTGAACTGTTGTCTTTTCTTCAAAAGAACTACTGTACCTTCATCTCTGATATTCATCAGTTTTGCTCACCATACACACTAAAATGAATATTGCCAATTAACAGCAGTTTTATGTTTTGTAAAAGTGCCATGTTCAGCTTCCAATTGCTTAACACTGCTACAAATGAATTGGATTTTACAAGTCCCAAAAAAGTAAAGCTCTACTTTTTTGTTTGCCAAGCAGCATTATAATGCCATAGAGTATTCTCTGAGGTTTAACTGAAAGGAAGTAAGTGGAACTTGATGAGTATTTGATGAATCAAGAGTAAAAATGAAAAAAAATACTTTATATATTCTAAAATTCAGCCAAGTTGACTATGGCATTATATATCCATGACTTGATAATCCAACCCTTTTTACATATACATAAAATACTGAGGAGAGTTACCTTTGGGGAAAAGTTAAAATAGTACTATAATAATAGAACAGCAGCTTTTTGTAATGTATACATCCAGAAAGCCTTGACTCGACTATAACATCTTTTTTTTTTCTTTTTTTTGGTGTGGTCCTGCTTTCAGCTAATTTAAATATTATTTTTCACTAATGGATTAAGAGCAGGCTGTAATTTAATGACATAACATTTACCTTTGCTGAAATCTCTCTCAAATATTTTTCCAGTTAATGCTATGCAAAAGGCCTTACAGATCTCTGGATAATTTTCCCTTTTTTATGGGAACATGAAGTTTTGAAAAGAGAATTTTAGATCTTGAAACCAAGATGAAGGTCTGAAGCATATATATGATATAATTTATCAAGTATACATAATTGCAAACTCCATTTTCTAGATCTGATTAAAGTGTGAGCCTTTCTACTTCATTTCCTTTGCTGAGAGCATCATGTTAGAAACTAGTGTTGGTAAACAATATTCGATTATACAAACAACTGTTTATTTAAAAATGTTGGATTAACAAGTCATTTTGAGTAAGCTTTTATGCTTGAAGTACTCTACTTTGCTTTCCATTTTTTCTTTTATCTGCTTTTTTTGCTCTTCCTCTTGGAGGCAGTGAAAGTGGTCGGAGCACTCCGAGCTTATCCATGTACTCAGACAGCAAATCTTCACCTTCTGTCTATCAGCAGGCTCCTAGACATTTCCATATTCCAGGTAGGCATTCACTGCTTAGCTTTGAATCCTCAATTGATGAATTGTCATAGTTCTTGCATTAAATTTGAACTATAGAACAGCAACAGCAATGATGTTTTTCACTTCTGAAGAGTGAAAATATATTAACTACTAAAGCTGGTCTGAGAAGTCAATGAGTTAAATATACTTCTCACATTTTATGTATAAACAGGTCTGCATTAGGAGAAACCAAAGGTGACAAACTCATATTAAACCTAGCAAAATGCAGTTATATTTACATGGTACTTGTGTTTACATAGGCTTGCTGAATGCGTGGTGTGAGCCCAAGATTTTTGTCCTTTATTTTTATTTCCACCTTCTAAACAAACTAATGGGTAAGGAATCATATTAATATATATTCTGTTAGGAGTGAAGTAAGACTTGGGCAGCCAGGCAGCCCACAATATTTAAAGCATGTACTGATAAGGAGAGAAGTAGTGGCTACTACCTATAATGATGGGTGAATGGTCTCTGTCTGAGGGTTTTGATTTTTGAGACTAGACAGAAAGGATGCTGTCTAAACTACTTGCTTACTCTTTTGTTCTTTCCTTTTTCTTTCCTCTTCCTCAGACACTGGAGTAAAAGATAACATCTATAGGAAACCCCCTATCTACAAACAGCATGGTACAGTCTGCTTTTCTTTGCTGCAGTATTTTCTACGCATGTCCTTATCAAGGAAGTGCATATGTACCACTGAGTTCTATCGCGTTTGCATTTAATTATGCCAGAATCCCTATTGACTAAAAAAAAAAGGAAAAGAATTAAGTAACAGAAATAGATAACTCTTCATAACATGAAATCTGAAGACTCAGTAAGTGGCTCTGTTACTGAATTAATGGTATCTCACTGAGCATTACTAATTTAAACTTAATACTGATCTTATTTTCAGAAGTATACAATAATGCATTAAACATAGTACATTGCTTTCCTGTTTTCAGGCTACCCTGGGGAATATTTAATTTTAAGGTAATTTTGGCTTCTACATTACAGCAGAAAATAAACTTAAATTATTTGAAATATGGTGCATATTAAATACCAGTCTTTGTTTTTCAAGATCTTCTTAGTCCATCATGGTATCAGACCCATTTTATACATGTTAAATCCATTGCATACAAATTATTTTTTATCAGCTGTTAGCTGACCAAGATGGCTTTCAATATTGCAGGGGCAGACCTGATAGTAAAGTCGGCATCTGAATCACTAACCAAACTGAAACACACAGAGAATGCTTTTGTTATACAGATAATTTCACTCAACATAAGACTTTAAGAAGGAAATATATACATTGCACATGTTTTAAGCACAACAGTAAAAGAGACAATTTCAAAAAGGAACCAAAGCCCATCTTCAAAAACTGCTAAGAATATCAGATAGTGTTAGGCTCCAGTTTTATAAAAGCTATTAGCTACTTTTCAAGTGAAATCCAGCTTTCAACCTCTGAAAATTCAAGAATCATTTTTACAGTCACATTGTCTTCAGGTTCACAAATAAGAGTCTTATGCTGTTCCTTTTATCTTTCAAGGTGTTTGCATAATTATGTATGTCACTGATTAAAAACCCTCCACATTCTGGGTCAGCTTGATTACTAGCATTGGTGCCTGAAGTGTGCTTTGACAATTATCTTGACTAAAATTAGTTGCATCTAATTACATTAATATCTCCATAGAGAAAAATTCTTATCACCTATCATTGCCTTTGGAAGAAAATAATATGTGGGATTCTTATGGCTTGTGTCTTTCCACTACATTCATCTACCCAACTGTTACAGCACTTACTGAGCCCTTTCTCTCTGCCACACTGGTTAAACAACATTTAAGGAATGCTACAAAAAGACAAGGTAGAGATCTGTAATGAATGGGTGTGCCAGCTTTCCAGGGTATATTGCAAACAGGAGCTTGAAAAATTGATATCCCGTGAGAGGATCATTGCATTTTACTTACCGCTGACTCAGAAGTCAAGGGGAACTTCTAAGCTAGCTCTATAATGAGAAACAAGAACTAAAAGTAATGTAAAAAAATCAGCGTACCAGTGTAACACATCCCATTGCACTCACAGTCCTCCCATCTACAGAAAAAAAAAAAAGAATAAACCACATATGATACATTGTTATATACTGTGTTACAGAAAAGTGCTTGGGTACTATAGTGATGAACATAATATAAAAGCCTAAATAAAAGAGAACAGGG